AAAGAAAGAAAGAACAATACTACTACACACACACACACACATATATATATATATATATATATATATATATATATACAAAATTTTCATTTGTTTTTATTATTACTTTATTTTACTGTTTTGATCTCTGGCCTAACTTTTTCATGACATGATTTTTCGATTGTAGTTCCTGAAAATTTTATGCCCAAAAGTGGTAACTGCTCCACATTTAGTTTGTATTACCCCCCCCCCCCTCCCTATTTGCTCTATAATGCATTTTCACTGTAGGAGGACTTTGGACAACACACTAAGGTAAATGTTGTCCCCCTCCCTTAACATGCTTTCCAAGTCCATCATCCCTGCACATATCACAGCTTCCATGTGTCTGTTAGAACAACCAAAGACACAGAAGTTCATGTGAGACCAATGTAAGTACTACAGCATTAATTCCCATTTGTTAGCATATGAGCCTGATAGTATATATATGCAGGATTCACCTTAACATTTTTATTGACTATCCAGATGTTTAACTTATCATTATAATCATCATAAATCCCTTGGAAAAACATCAATAATGTGTTCTGTGAAATTTTTTATCAACAGTAAGACAATTACAAGAAGGTCCAGGCTATTAATCTGTGTGCTCACAGGCCATAGGGATAACCAAGGCAAGTCAACTAAATAAGTAAATTATCACAGATCATGAACAACTGTTTATATTCTTTCACAAAAAATTAATAGAAGTAAATAAAAACCTGAAGCCACGACTAGTAAATAATGACAAATATTTGAGTACTCACATATGAACTAAATAAAAATTGGTGCTACTATAGTGTGCAGTCTACACAGATACTATCATCATCACCATTTTAACTTTCATTTATTTGCAACTGGTGCCATTTATTATAAATAACGCTTTTAAACTAATAAAGTACAAAATACCATTGCGGTTTCGGGACAAATATAATCGGAATGAAATAAATTCCAACAATCAAAACTAGCACAATTATAACCTTCATTTAAGGTACTTTTTTAGAACACACAGCTTATTAAATTATTATTATTTACTGAACAAAACCGTGAATAGATATAAATTATTTAGTAAGAAATTATGTTTTAGTGAATCATTAAAATGATGATGATGATAGTATCTGTAGAAACTGCACACTATAGTGTAAATATCTTTATAGACCACACACTATATTAGCACCTAAAAATTTATTTACAATATTTGGGTTGAATTTTTCTATACTTTTCAAGCAGATACTATACATTTAATATAAGAATATAAACAAACAAATTAAAACTTGAAGTTGCTTAACACAGTTGTAGACTTATACTTTACATACACTGATCTTTACTTTTATAATATATTCTTTGAATTATAATATCATCAAAGTTAAAGATTAAAAACAAACATACAATGTTAAATTGTTAAACAATAAAATCTGTTTTACTAAAAACAGGGCACAGCCCTAAAAAAAAAAGTGATTGAAAACTTTAAAATATATTTTGCAATTCTAAATGTAGGTCCAATGTAATAAATGTAATTACAAACATAAAAAGTATTGTAATAAACAATGAAAGGATACAATCTTGAAGGATGCTGAAGTGAGTCGGGAGGTATAAGAATATCATCAAAAAATCCAAGGGAAACTGCAATAAACATTTTAACAGTTATTCGTACTGTTGTCTATAATTTTAATAACAGATTTTATCAGCAACATAATAAAAATACTATATATTTGAGATATTGTTCATTACCTAAGTTCTGATATGCATTTAGCCATAAGCTAGTTTATTTTAATTCTTCACAACTGAGTTCATTTCTTTCGTTTAATATATCATGGAATACCAATGTAAAAACAAGGAACATAAAATTTAATTTAAAAACAATTTACCAAGTTATTTTTTACTTATTTCTATATTTTCTGGACACTAATTCTCCAACATGTAATTAACATTTAAGAATATAATTTAATCTACTCCATCTTTTTTTTTGATGGAAATCTAGTAAGGGTGTCAGGTAAGTGTAGTGCAGTCTACTTCAACTTTGTAGAACTGAAGTGGACAAAGTCTTGTTAATTCCAAATCATACAATACATACTACTTTATGAAATCATAAAAAAGTGTCTTACAGAGAAATAAAAACAACACAGCCAGCAAACTCTTTCTTTCATCCAACTAACAAGACTAGCAGATCTACCTTGTAAGTTGGCCATATCAATAGGTTTACAACCACCTACTATAAGCCCTAGTATATATATTAAAAGTTTAAAGCAATTCTAAGTTCATAGTTGCCTAACAATTTCACATAACTCTAGGAAATATGACTTCAGTTCTTTTTTAATATATACTTGGTTGCTGTCAAATGCAAAGCCACACAATGGGCTAACTGCACTCTGTCCACCACTGGTATCAAAATGTGATTATTAGCGTCGTAAGCCCCTGCAGACTTACTGCTGAGACACAGGGAGGCTCTTTAATACAAAAAATATATATATATAATGTTGAAATATCCCATATTTGTTGGAAAAATACTCTATGGATTAAATTTTATGCATGACAATAATGTATAACAAAGTGCCAGATGTAAAAACTACAAAAATATTTATTAAATGTAAAAGATTATACATAATACAAAACACTTAAAATCTATAATTTTCTTACACTAAAAATTTATTTCTGTTAGATACTTACTTCCTCTTACATAACAGCTTTTCTTGATCTTCTACTGCCACACCATCTAATTTATTGAAAATAAAGTTTTCTCACTTGATGCACTAGTCTTTATACCCCATAAGTTCGAGCTGCTCATTTAGCATGCATGGTGTGCACAACAACTATTCACCAATAGAAGCATGACACACTCTCCTAGAGGAGCTGGCTCTCTTTATATTATTCTACATATACACCACTTTTGAGATAAGGCACACAAGAAACATAATAACACCAGTAGTGGGGAGAAAGGGTGGGAAATATGTGAGGAGAGGTAAGTATCTATCAGAAATATATTCTCAGTGTGAGAATATAAATTCTGATATGATACATAACTCCTCTCAGATAACGGCTAGAATCCCACATTGAGTAGATGGAGGGACTGATTTAATATACAAAACAGGAGACCTCCTGCAGAAGGCATTCGTGGAGAACTGAACATGGGTGCTTGGTAATAGAGGGGAAACACATCTGTGGGGCACTGCACCACATCTAGAACAGGTATGCTGTTTGCCCTTTAAGAAATTGGTGGCATCAAGGCAGGAATTATTAAAAGAAAAGGCCTTGGAAAACAAAAGAACAGCATCTACCCAGCCACAACCGTACAGATGAGGTTCCATGTCCCATCCTCGGTATTATGAGGCTGAGTACTGCCCAAGCAGACTGTGAATGATATATATATATATATATATACCGACTCCAACCAAAGTAAACAGAGTGCTATACTCCAAGTAACTGGAATTATGATGAGGAAGTAAGTAAACAGGAACCTTCAGACAAACTTTCAAATCAACTGTAGGAGACTGGAAGTACAACAAAGTGAACCCGGAATTACAGGGCCATGTCTAAACCTCAATCCAACTGTAAGAACTGAGAGTCATCCTGAACCTGGTATTAAGAGCAGGAAAAGAATGAACTGAACTTAACCGTAAGAGCATGGAAGCAAACACTTGCACTCAGTATTAAAACGAGAATGTGAAACTTACACTCGACCATAAGAACAGGTAAATGCAACCGGAATTATCAAGAAGGGGGAGAGGGTATCTACCAGCCTCAACTGTAGGAACAAGGCACTACCTACCTGAACTCGGTATAACAAGGAGGATCCAGCATTTGCTGGTCCAACTCCCACCTACATCAGTATCTCTTGGAACAAAACTCCAGGAGGGAGGGTTCCCAGCTTTGCCCTCTTCTCAACTGAGTGTAAAGACATGTAATGTTATGACATATGGTCGACACCCATGAGGATGCCTTCATGGTCCACCAATCCAGCAGCTAGAAAGTGGAAAGTGGGAAGGTCTCTCAAACTTCAATGAAGGGAGGGGTAAAAGGTGGTGGGGAGTCCGGAAGAACATCAAAAAACAAACAACACAATGCACTGAAAACTGAAAGCAAGTGAGAAACATGTCCAACTCGTAGTGTGTGAAGCAAGAAAGTGAGGTATATGTAGAATAATACATAGAGAGCCAGCTGCTCTAGGAGAGTGTGTCGTGCTCCTATTGGTAGAGAACTGCTGCATGTTCTACGCATGCTAAATGAGCAGCTCGAACTTATGGGGTATAAGTGCATCCAGTGAGGATAATTTCTTTTGAATGCATTAGAGGACAGTAGAAGATCGAGAAAAGCTGTTATGTGAAAGGAGGTGTCATATTAGAAAGGAATAAAAATACTCACCCTGGCCATTTGAACTTTAAAGTTACAAATATTTGGCCAAAACATTTAATAACTAAACCTAGCATTGAATTCAAATATGATGCAAATAACTAATCAAATAGCTCAAGAAAGTTTACATCAAAATAGTTAATGATTTTTTTATGAAAAGCAGAAGTCTATGTTAGTTTCAATTTTTATTTATTGCTCTATTTTACAGAAGACAAGTAATTTCATAAATTCCATTAACAAAATTAAACTCAAGTACTATACAGTTTATTAATAGTTTATGTACACTTTCTTTCCTCTTGAGTACATGAAAAGCCACTTGTAACTTGAGTGTGAAATAAAATAATAAAAACTACATTATTGTTCAAACATGTTTTATTTGTAGCTTTGTTTAACAACTTTTGAGCCAATTCCAATTCAAAAGCTTGCCAATCATATTTTCAATAATATAAAGAAAGTATCTGTAGTCTGACATGAGGTGTAATCAGCTATCTTTGATGTTTACAGTAATTAAACTCATCATTTTTTTGACTGTAAGGAAAAACACAGTTTACACTTCCTGACCACACAACATTCCTTTTATAGCACATGGACTCTTATTGGTCAATTACACTAATTAACTTGATGTTATGACTAGTATGATTGGCTGAAGGAATAATCAGTAGCAAGTTTACACAACGGACCATTAAGATTGTCAAAACATAAGTGTTAAATTGTGATTAATCCAATAATTGGACATCAATTAAAGGAACTAACAGCAATAAAACTTCAAAGCACAAGAGTGAGGATCATTCAATAGCTGTGGACAAAAAAAACATTTTATTCAAAGTTTCTGACTAGATTATTGTTAAAAATCTTACAATAATCAAAAACGTTGTTAATGGAATAAGAGTAGCAAGTTTACCATATACTCCGTCTCTTGTACAACTACGAATTTTGCCAATCAGAATCTCATCAAGAAATGGACGGAAGACGACATATCTGAAAAGAACTACAAAGATCTTCATTAAAAGAGTATATTAAAGAATATTCTAATATTTTTACAACATTAAAGATAAAAATAGCTCAGACATGCCAGTAAACAATGTGAAACATATATTCATATAATGATTAAGTTATTTAAACAAATACGTAAAAATAAAATAAACTACATACAACCTTGTAGTGTAAGTATGCCTTTTTTATTGTTTACATGACTTTTTACATGTTGAACAACTATTATATAAAAATTGATACATCCTTATTAAAAAAAGAGACTAGAATATCTTCCAAGATCTGATTATTTTAATTTCTGAGTATGTAAGTTCCAAAATATAACTTGATGTCCAAATCTAAATCTGCCATGAGGTACATAAAGACAGTATATAATTAATCCAATAAAGTTGTGTTGAACTATCCCCTCTTTTTTTCTAATAATATCAAAAACTTTTAACCCATTAATTCACAACCTAAGACATTATTGTCACACTGGTTCAGTGAATGCCATCAGAAATTCAATTCAAGGAGCCATCAACTTGGATCATGGAAATCCATCATCAATCATAGAAACTTCATCCTATTTTCACATGTAAAAAAACTTTAGTATCAAGGTTCACTGATGCTCAACAGGTACGTACTATGTGCTATAAAAATTAGATGTTTCAGCTAGGCAAGACTTAACTCTGGAATTATAAATATGATCCATATGTACCCCCATCAGATTCACTAACAAGTATTTATAAACTATTTATACACTAAACTACTCATGGGTCCATAACAATGCGAGTTATAAGATTCCTAATAACATATGCTTGTTAAAATCATTTTCAGCAAGTTTCATTAAAGATTACAGAATAAACTCGTCTACTCTCCATATTGAAATTAATTCAACTAATTGTGAAGCTTCCTAAATAAGTGATGTCACAATGTTTTAGGTCAGTTGTTTACAGTGAAAGTTATGACAAATAAACACATTTAATTACTCAAGCTGAATGTCAAGGTTACTTCCAGTTATTTGGTTAAACATATATATAAACCTGTTTACAAACTATTTCAGTCTGTACCCGATGCCTTTACTAGTGAAACCATGGTCATTAATAAATGAAGTATTTGTGAAACATACAAGTGTCTTTGTTTTTTCCTCAATTCTTTAATTATGGAGTTTCACCAAGTACCAACAGTTTCAAGTATCAATTATATATATAAAAGACTGAAAATTAAACACTGCTTAGTAGCTCAACACCTCTGGTTCAATAACTAGTGTGAGACATGGAATCTCCCCCCAAAATACATCTCACTGAAGACCAAAGACACTTCACATTCAGCCAAAAAAGCCCCAAAATCAGCAAAGAAGACTTGGCTGAAAGAGGAGATCAAGAATTGGTACAGTGTTAGAGACACTCTAAGTGTACACTTCAAGATAGCTTACAGCAAACTGTGTTTCCATTTTCACTCTGTGGAATTTGATCTATTGGACAGAGACAAACATGACAATGTATGTCAGCTGATACACACTAATTATATGAATAAGTAAATTGGATAATCTGACTAAACATGAAAATAGTTCAAATCTAGTAGTAGATTACCATTCAAAATTCCATCTTTGGTTAGTAAACCTTTCTAAATCTAAGTCCCCCCCCCCAAAAAAAGAGTCTAATTTACTAAGTAAAGGTTTAAAATATTGCCACAAGTCTAGGATAAGTGTAAAATACTTTGAAAATCTTGCAATAGATATAGAGGTAGCACTTGTGCTTAATCTGACTCTGTAACAAATAATATATACTTTAAAATTATTCAAACTTCTTCTGAGAACTGTGCTAAAAATGGAGATGACGAGTCCAAGCTGATTAAATCAATAAAATCTAAAATTAAAACTGATAGTTTAATAATTACAAAAGCAGATAAAGGTAATACAACTGTTGTACTTGAAAAACAAGATTATCATGGTAAAATCAATGACTTCTTTGATTCTAAAAGTTTCACACTCCTAAACATAGACCCCACCAAAACCTTTAACAACAATGTTAAATCTTTGTTGAAAAACAGCAAGAACCTACTTGAGGAACTCCAAACTATGTCATTAAATGTTATGAACCCTTGCTCGCCACATCTGTATGAACTTCCTAAACTGCACAACACAAATATCCCTACCAGATGTGTTGTTTCCTATACAAAAATGCTCCTGCTTACAAACTAGCACAGAAAGCTCACAATATTTTCAAAAATCTAACTGGTGTTAAACCTAAGTTTAATATTAAAAACTCTATAGAACTTCTAGAAAAATAAAAAATGTAAAAATACCGAATGATGCCAAAATTGTTTTGTTTGATGTTTGTAGTCTTTTCACCAGTATACCCATTAATGAATATAAAGAAATTATTAGCAATTTAATGGATAAATAAAAAGTAAACCTTGTACAAGCCCAGGATTTAAAAACAATAACAACCACTTGTTAGATTAGAACAATTTGATGACCAAATATATAAACACAATGACAGGTTAGCTATGGGTTCCTCTCTCTCTCCTTTGCTTGCACAAGTTTTCATGGATAATTTAGAGAAGAAATTGTTCAGTGATGAAAATACTACAAAATAAGTTAACTATTGGTACAGACATGTTGATGATACGATTTGTCTTTGGACAGGCTCCAAATGTCAACTTGATAATTTTGTAACTCTTCTACATTCACAAAACAAATTTATTAAATTTACTATGGAATTTAGTGAAAATCAGAAACTTTAATTTTTTGGACTTAAATATTAACATAAATAACGGCAAACATTTCTTCATAATTTTCAGAAAACTAACTTATAGTGACACTATCATACATGCCTCTTCAAGACATCCACTATCTCACAAACTTGCCATATTCCATAGTTTGTTACACAGGCTTATCACTGTACCCTTGTCATCTGATGATTATGAAACTGAATTAAAAACAATGGTTATACAACAAACTTAACTGACACATTGTTGTTTAAAAAATTAAAACCCATAAACTTAAATAAATATACCCACATACTGTACCAAACTACAACAAAAAGAAATTGTTTAAGATAAGCTACACTGGAAAACCCTTTCATAAAATATATATAACACACTGAACAAAGAAGTCTACAGACTGGCTTTCTACTGTATAAACAATCCAGGCAAAATGTTGTGCAACAAGAAAGATAAAATTGAAAAGTACAGCAACAGTGGTGTTTACCAATTAATGTATCAAGACTGCAATAGTGTAGACATAGGTCAAACAGGACTTTCCACAGAAACAAGAATTAAAGAAATTTCTAGAAGCTGGAAATTCAGAAAAATGTATCCAACCTTTGCATCCCACCTTAAATATTGATGTTGATATTTAACCAACACCAACAAACACAAAAACTATTTATTGACAAACTGTGGTGTTCGAAGGGTAAATATTCTTATCACCTTTGCAGTGGTTATTATTTGTATTATCGACACTTGACAACGACTTTCACAAAAAATTTTGATTGTTTTAGCTTATCTGAAGTCTTAAACAAACTTTACAAATTTCCTAGAACTCTTTACCATAACTTTGATCTGACCAATGGACATTAACAAAATTCCAGTCCACTCACAAAAACTGTCCAATGCTAACCCCTTTCAAGACAAACAGCCCACTGCAAAGACACAAATGTTCTAACAATGACCTTCAACAAGGATTGAGAAGTCCCTAAAACTGCTTGAAATAGACTATAGTTGAAGATTTGGTTCAACACCAAGTTGTAAATAAATGCACGATACTTACACATGATTTTGAAAGTTACCAGAATAAAGATATATTAATTTTCTACATTCTGAAAAGGCTACAGTTATGATATCTGCATATTGCAATATTAAATGTTCTAAATGATATCACCTGATCATTACTACATTCATCAAAGCAGTATGCAATACACTCTAAGCATTAACAACATTGTATACTGTATTTGTAGCATGACTTATACTTGAGTCTTAATAATACATGCTTTTAAAGACAAAACATGTTTCAATCACTAAACAACAAACACCAATTTATTTTGCCTTCATGTGTTGTTGTTCCAACACTGACATCTCATTTCATAATACGTTTTCACCAGTTCAAAATATCTTCCGGTATATATTTTATTAAATAAATAAGAATATAAACTGTTTTACAAAATTTAAATACCATGACAATTTTTTCAGCAAATGTATTTTCTTGGTACCTTGAATGTGTTTAATAAACTTATTGTACAACTTTTTAAAATGTATTTCATGGGACAAATCAAAGCAAATATAATGTGCTTTTAGTTTCAATATTCATGGTAGGCTGTTCAAGTATATAT